TTCCTTAAAAATCTGTGACATTTCGAACTTTGCTTCATTATCGATACAGCTAATATTTTCTCATCGATACTGAACCTACGGTCTTTGGTCTTTATATCTGAACATTTTATTTAATATTAAAATAAAATTGAGAGAAGTATATGATAAATTTTTGGTTAAAGTCCAAATTTTTGTTTTTGCGTTTACTTTCTTAATTTATATACTTATATCACACTTAATTTTACTTATTACCTTTAGCTTGTTTATCACTTTTGAAAATAATTTTTGACTCGATTACAGCAGGTCCTCCATTTACGACGCACCTGATATACGCCGATTTGTAGTTACGACGCTTTTTCAAAATATGAAGAAAAAGAAAAAAATTTATAACGCTCATATGTTATTTTCAGATATCATATGTCTTATTTTCAGATTAAGGAAATTTTTTCCAGATTAACCGAAAACTTTTACAAAATAAACGGAGTCATTTCCAAAATTAACGAAATCTTTTTCAAAATAAATGAAACCCTTCATTCCATTCACATACATACATACATAATTCGAAAAAGTTTTTTTTTTGGAATAAGTTTCATTTAATTTGGAAAAGGCTTCGCATATTTTGGAAAGGGCTTCGTTTATATGTAAAAGGTTTGCCTTAATCTGAAAATTCTATATATGATCTCAGAAAGTAGTTTTTGTTACTATTGTTATTAAGTTTTGCTTTTGATTTTTTTGTGATAAAAACGAATTCATAAGTGTATAAAGTATGCAATATAAAATATAGATATACAAAGGTATACATACATATATAACATACAAATGTATTAATTCATTTGTATCATTTTATTTAAATACGTTCCTATATAAATATACATGATGTATGTTTAAAATTGTACAAAATTCAGATATTCCTGGGATCATAGACTTCGATTTATTAAAAAATTCAATGTTTTTTCTAAGGCTGGAAAATTTGTGTTTCGGTAATGTGTAGTCCATAAAATATGGCATACAACATTTACAGAACATATTTCTTTATTTTTTATTTATCACTAATACTTCACACAAACTGCACTACATTTTACTAATTTTTAAAATCATAGCTGATGCCGCCAAGTGATAGGGACCTTAAGCTTTTTGACTTGAAAAAAAAATTTGTTCGAAGTTGGCATCTCGTGAGTTGACTAATAGAAAAAGGGAAAATGTCTTGATGAAGAATAATATGGGGATAACAAGCTGAAGGAAAGAGAGTGCCTGAATTTACCTACACCAAGAGAACATAGTACATCAATGAAGCCTGTTACTTTAAAAACCTTAGATTACTAGATAGAAGCGCAATGGCATGATAAACTAGAATGGCTAAAAATATATGTATTTGTTTCAATATGGTATGTCATTTGTATACTTATACTTTTTGCCTATCCCACCATTTTTAACCTGCCACTCCGTTCAATGGCGACAATATCGGGCTGGTGCACGTCATTGTACATAACCATGAATCAGTTTCTTCCGTCATTGAGTTTACTAGGTAGGTGACGAGTCTACCGGTGCTGCAGTTTACTTTAGGAATAATTGAAGTGTTCGTATGTAAGTGTTAATTTGGTTTGTAGTGACTCTTTCTACATGTAGTGACTCTTTAACTACATATCTGACGTTATTACCCACAATCGATAACCAATTGTTAAATAACCGATAGTCATACATTTAAAAGTCTTGTTATCTTAATTTTTTTGTTTTTAATTTTGTGTAAAAATTTAAGCATCCCATCTAAAGTTACTTAATTTTGATACAAATGGTTTACTTCCAAACCACTCTTAGAATGGAGTCTTGATGACTGAATACATGACTTAAAATATTGTATGTGTAAAGTTCCAAATAGTCAAATTCAATGTCAAATGTCATTTTGCGTCTAATTATAAATTTGCAGAAACCCGATGAATATTTAAGTCAAAGCAGTATAAACCATTTCAAAATTTTATTTTATTTACAACAGCTTAATTTCATGTTTTATAAAAATTTTCACTTGACCATTCTCAAAAACTTCTCTGCCACCTATTATTATCTATTTGACTTACAGATAATAGATTTTGACGGGATGAGAGTACCGCTAAAAAAATTTCTAGTGTTCCACTTTTTCTTGTCCATTTACAATATCGAAGAAATATTAATTTGCCTTATTTTCTAACACTTATAAATTCTCCATTAATTCAAAGCGAAATTGATATTTAAATTTTCGTTGAGGTGGCTTGAAATACAAATTAGACTGCTTTTCTATATGATATGTTGTCCCTTAATCAATTGACATATAAAATTTATTTTGAGTAATAAAATATACCAAATAAAAATATACCAGGTTCTCTGTATTTAAAATAAATAATTTTTTTGATGCAGCGTTTAATTCTTTTTGTGTATGGATTGGCATATTGGTTGAAATGAACCTAGTGTCATACCACCTGTATTCTTTTATTCTGCTTCCAATAAACTTCTGCTTCAAATAAGTTTTAAGTTTTTGGGTGATTTCACCGATGTTGTAGAAATAGTTACTCCCAAACAGATTAACTTTATTAGTAATTCGGGTCTGAAAATTATTTTGATTTAAATAATTTCTTTTATACGTTTTTGCTAATGCCATATATATATACATATCTATGTATGTACATGTCTATGAAATTATTTTACAAAATTTTGCTTTATTTTTTTTTGTGAAATTTTTAAATATTCTTTGTGACTCTCAGTTCATTTAGTCTGGTTTTTCATTTTATTTAGTAATTTTTTTTTTGCTTTGAAAAATTCGAATTTTTTCTTAATACGTTCTTCAGATGAAATTTACCAATCGGTTTTTATATTTCAAATTAAAAAACATACATACATACATATGTATGTAGAATCAGTAGAGCAAAACATATTATTCATCAATTTCCTTCAGACAAATATGTGATTAGCGACACCCCTTTTATTTAAACTCTACATAAATTTCGAATTTATTTTTGAGTTTGTCTGAGCTTGGTGGCCTGATAGATATGTATGCATATATGACACTAAATTTTGCTATAAAAAAACATAAATGAGATTATTTACGTACGAACCCAGCCCATTATAAAGTTAGGTTGAAGTTCAGCTGAATTTGGAGCGGAGGCTTTACATTACCAACATCGATATATAGACTCTTTTATATTGTTGTCGTTCATTTTATAAATCATTTTTTTACTTCCATAAACATACTTATTTGTGTTTCCAGGAATTATTCTTTTTAGTCTATTTCTCCAACAATGGAAACAACAATATTCAGATGGCTTTTAAATAATTAAAGTTCTTGAGAAAAGAAATCCAGTTTCTGGTTATAGATTTTGTGTTTATTGTTTATAAGACTATTTTTTTCGTTAAACAAAATTTGGGGTTTCTTTGAGTAGTATTTTTTCATTTGATTACCACTTATTTATCTTTGGTACTGTCTTATTTATTGTTTTTTAAATAATTGGATTTAGGTTTAAAAGATTTTATTTATTTTTAAACTACGCCTGTCATTTATTTTATTTGTATTTCTATAATCGCTTTCAAAATTTTTGTGGAAATTTTTTAAATTTCTCCCAGTTATTTTTATTATGGAAAAACTGACAATCAATGGGCAACTCTTTTTTCAATTGCATCTGTCTCTCTATTGTGAATGGAACCAGTACTGCCCTATGATCACTATTATATAAAAGTGTAGCCAGTTGATCCCGATTGCTAATAAATTTGGCATTAATTCTAGTATCTTTAAAGATCAAATCGAAAAAAGATTTTGTGTGTGTGGTAATGTTTCTGTAGTATTTTGTACAAGGAATTAGAAATATTAAAGGCAGGAACATCTTGAAAAAACAATGAAGCCTAATTTTTCTAGTTATCTCATTCTTTGCTCCGAGCATTTTCAAATTCGTAGCAGGAGCCTATTTATTTTATTTTCTTATCTGGCCTCTACTATAAAATATGTGTAATTTGTTAGAAAGATAACTTAAAACTTTTTTTTAAAGTAGAAACAAAAAAATATTTCAAAATATTTTTTCATTTTAAATATCTGTAAAAAAAAATTTTAACAAAACTCATTATTTTTTTTTCTCTTGAATAAATTTACTTTATAAATTTTATAATTTATAAAGTAAATTTATATACAATATTTTAAATTAGAAGGCCAATTTAAAATATTGTATGTATGATATATTTTATCAAATACAAATTAATTTTGCTTTTATTACATTCGATTTTAGTATAAAAAACAAAAACGAATGTTTTCTTTCCAACATTAAAACTTAAGAAATTTACGAATTACAATTAAAATTTACGACATATAATTAAAATTACGAATTAAATTTAACACTTTTAAATATTTGTTTAAATTATTAAATAAATTATATTCACATATGTACATACATGTAGTGGGAAACTACCATTTGTTCTTTTAAATGAGAACAACAATTTGAAATTGTACACTTCTTTCTCTTTACAAAGATTTTTTCTTTTCTTATAAATCTTTTCAAAAAAATTCATTTTGGGCAGTTAATTCATTTTAGGCATTTAGATAGGTCCATTCTAAATGAATTTTAACAATTCGCCGCGGTGAATCACTATTGTTTTCTAATTAATTTTGTTATAATTGTTTTCTAATTAATTAAAAAATAATAAGCTATTTCTCGCGAGCATATTATTTTTTCACCAAAAATTATTAACCTTGTGGCTTATTATTAATTAATTAAAAATTGATTAAATTGTTTTTTAAGTTAAGTCTTCGTAAAAGACCTTATATTAAAATTCAAAATTTGTCCCTTGAAGAAGTCTAGAATTTTTAAAAATCCTTCATCAATATTTTTTTAAAATAGTTTCCATAAAAACAGAAAAGATTAATTTTTCTCATGTTAACCGTATGTGTACCATCACGCCATTTTAAATCATATGTTTATAAATAGTCGATACATCGACTGGTCACTTAAAAAATTCCGTTTTTTCATGCAACTTGGCACTACTTTATATATTACACCGTCAAATGTATAGTTTATATCTTAGATGCTTTTCTATTGTTTAAGAAAAAGAAAGTAAAATAAATGTGTTAAGTCTAGTTCAGCATCCTCAAATTACTAAATCCGGTTTATTATATTATCAAAGAAATATTTTGAATATTAAGGTAAATATACCGTTGCATAATATATAAAAAGTACGAAGTATAAATAAAACATGAAGGTGGTACATTTATACTGGAACAGAAATATAGAGACAGATTTTTCTTTTATGTGGGAACGAAAGCCGCCATTAAGAATTTTTAGCGTCCCGTTTAAAGTGCTGTTGTAATAAACAAAACTTTCTGAAATTTTATAATATTGAATAAACGTACGTAATTTGTCCTTTAATAAGTAAAACACAAACGATTTAATTTCGTTGGTAAAGTGTATTCAAGGATTATGCACATACAATAAACATATATGTATATACATATATGTACATGCATATATGTACGGATGTATACTTGAAAGGAACTCAAAATTTATAATTACGTACAAGTGTGAAAAACAATTTATGTATCCATAAACTACAAAATCTACTAACTAAATTTTATAATGAAACATTAATAAAATGCAAACGTTACCTGCGTTTTTGTGTTTAAAATTATTAAACTGGAGCTTAATAGAAAAGCTTAGGAGCTATGAATTGTATTTCGACATAATTTATATAAATGTCATAGTTTCATACGTACATATTTGAAAATAAATTTCATACCTACAATTTTTTTATTCAACAATTGTTTTTCAAAATGTTTTTATAGAAGAATGTCCACAAAACGGAAGTCAGACATTAATGATGTCAATAACGGTAAACGTAATAGAAAATCTAAAGATGAAGAAGAAGAAAGCGATCGTTCTGAAAACGGGAATTCGCATGTTGAAGTTTTGATCCCATCTGACGAATTAGATAACACCTCCAAACTGCCTGAAGACTTATTAAAAACTTATGAAAAGGGATCTGGGCAACTTTTAATAGCTGGAATGGTTACTTGGGATTTGGTAGGAAAAAGAGACGCTAAAAAAGTCGCAAAAGTTCGGCCAAATCTCTACTCATTTAACAAATTTACGGATGCGAAAGTAATAAAAATATTAGAAATTACTTTAAAAGTACATTATTCTTATTTTAGTACAAATATATCGCAAGCGGGTGTGCAGCTGCACATAATATTGTGGTTAACACAGAAGGCCAAGCTTTAACTTTTGGTCGAAATCCGTTTGGTCAATTAGGCCAATCAGAATTGAAGTGTTATGAAAAACCAACTTTAGTTCCAGGTCTTGAAAATCTAAATATTATACAAGCAGCTGCAGGAAGAAACCATACACTATTTTTGTCAGATAATGGTACTGTTTATGCTTGTGGTGATAACAAAAGTGGACAATGTGGTATTGGAAACACACAGCCTATTGTGCAAAATGCTACAAGAATAAATTATAGGGGACCACCGATAGTACGTGTCGCTTGCGGAGCTGAATTCTCAGCAATTTTAGACATCAAAGGTAATTTATATACCTTCGGTCTACCCGAGTATGGCCAGTTAGGTCATAATACCGACGGAAAATACTTCGTAACAGCTAACAAGCTTACATTCCACTTTGAAACATCGCCAAAAAAAGTTCTTCTTTATATTGAAAAAACAAAGGAAGGGCATATTACACCAGTCGAAAACGTATCAATTGTCGACATCGCTTGTGGTAGTAATCACACGGTAATTTTTCTTGAAAAGCACAGGATTTCTAAATAATACTAAAAAATTGGAAATTTGTAGATTGCAATCGACTCGAAAAAGCGAGTTTACAGTTGGGGATTTGGTGGTTTTGGACGATTGGGACATGCAGAGCAAAAAGATGAAATGGTTCCCAGGTATATTTTATTTTACACTTTAATTCTATGTTTCAATCATTATAATAATATATACAAAAATCTCCAGGTTAATAAAAATGTTTGACAGTCAAGGCCGTGGGGTAACCAAGGTTTTTTGTGGATCTTCTTTTAGCCTTGCCATAACTGACATTGGGCAATTGTACTTATTTGGACAAAACAAAAAGACAGGGGAGGCAAATATGTACCCAAAGCCAGTGCAAGATTTGGCAGGTTGGAACATAACAGATGTAGGTTGTTCTTACACATCCATTGTCATATCAGCTGACGATACTTTAATTTCATGGGGTGCTTCACCAACTTACGGCGAATTGGGTCTTGGTGACATGCAAAAATCATCAACCACACCTAAAGAAGTAACAAAATGTGAAGGAATGAAAATACCTCAAGTCACCATGGGCCAGTCTCATTCTTTATTACTTGTTGATACTTCTGATGAAAAAACTAAAGAGAAGTATGAAAAGTTTGTGGAATTTGATCCTGATGACTAATTTTTAGAATAATTTTTGCTACAATTCATTTAAATAAAAAATACATACATACTTTAAAACATAAGAGTTCCATTTTAAATCCATATAAAACATACATGCATAATATGATATTTAAGAAAAAATTTAAAATTTTTATAATTTTAAAGTTAAACAGAATATTTACATATGAAAAGAACTTCCTTTTTTATTAAAAAAAAAAACAGTATGTTAAACTTTTATAGAAATGTAAGCAAAATAGTACACGATATTTCATAAGTTCTATTTAGAAAATATTTAAGAAAAGAAACTGATTTTATAATAAGTAAATATTTTTAACAGTCTGTATTTTCAGTATATGTTAATTTATTTCATTTTCAGCCAAAAGGCTTTGAGTACACGATTTATAAGATAATTTTATATAAACTATTATTTTAAGTTTTCATTTACATTATATGGTTTTCCTTTACATTTTTTTACGAAATATATTTTAACACAAATTAAAACAATTTCCGTTTTTAAATATAAAAAATTACTTAAGTGGACTTTACTATGTAATTAGATTTTCATACTTAGAGAAATGGAAAAATAGTACATGCCATACAAATTGATTCGTGCTACCTTACAATTTTTCCAAATGCGAAAATCGAATTACATAATAAGACCTTTTAATAATATTCATCTAACCAATTCACAACAATTGCATCAAATCTTTTAAATACTTCACTTTCGCACCTGGGATATTCATATAAAGGGCATTCCAATCAGTAATACTTAAGTGAATGACTTTAAATCCAAGCATTTCAAGGTGACGAACACGCATATGCTCATGTCCTGTTAAATTTTCATTATTATTGGTGCAATAGGCATCCTGTCTCAGAATTAATATGGCGAATTTAGATTCTTCATTCAATTGAGATTTTTTTAATCCCAATTTTTTTTGATAATTGGGTAAATGTACAACGAAATCAATGGTATATCCATAAGGTGTAGTTTGATTTAATAATATCCGTTTTTTATCTTTCACTACAGATAAAAGGACTTTCTCAACTTCTATAAACAATTTTGACGGATTTTTTATGTTTTTGCTCATTTGTGCTTCAATGTAATTTTGTTGAAACCAAGGAATTTGCATTTCTGGGAAGTCTATGCACACAGATCGATTTAATTCCATAACTTGATTCAAAATTCGGCTAGGGTATGTTTGTTTTGAATAACATAATTCAATTTCATCTTCAATTTTTTTAATAAATTCTGGAGTAAAAATTTTTTGAACAAGTTCTGATGGTAAAATTCTATAATAACAAAGTGATAAACAAGCTTTAACAATGCTTGACCCGGTCATGAAATCAAAATCTCTTTTAATAATTTCGGCGGACCAATGTAACACATCTTCGTTTTCTGGAATATAAGCCAAACTATATGCTGTATGTAAAAGTTTTTCGACTGTATCGCCTAGTACAAAGTCTCTATTTTTAAAAACATAATCGAAACTTTTACTAACAATTGTGGAAATTAAATAATTTGAAACTAGAAGATTTAAAGCAATTTCACGGATTAACCGTGAATTAATGTTTTTAGAACACACACTTTTGTAGCATTCTATTGCAGTGACATAAACTTCCGATGATGGACTTACTAAATTAAAGAAAATTTTATAATTAAGTAGCACCTTTATATTTTAGTTCTTACCTTTAATATTGTTTAAACATCTGATAATAAAATTTAGCTTAGAAAGATCTATTTCTTCATTACCTAAAAAATGTTTTATACGTCTCTCTATTATAATTTTAATTCTAACAATTTTTAAAAATATATTTTTTGGAATATCGTTTTTAAACATTAGTTCTGAAGCTATTTGAATCCCTTTCGATAAGTGAAAGCAATCATAATAACTGAGCGTATGTTCTGCTCCCTCTAATTTTGTAATTAAAAGTTGAGGCAATTCGTATGGTTTATTTTTGCTTCCTGCACCATAAGCCAATATAAAACTTGCTAATATAATAAAATTCCTATTGTTTTTCTCGCACTCATTTTTCAATATAATTTCTTCAGCATATCGGCTTAAAGTTTTTTCGAATTCTAAATGACGGAAGGTTCCCCCAACATTATTATTGAAAAACATATACCGAAAACAATGTTTTGCTAGCAAAAAATCCATCTGTTGTTGAGGATCTGATTTTACTACACATAACAGTTTTGACCAATACAGATTACATAAGTGAAAATCAGAAACTTTTAGATTTCTTATTAAATTATAGAGCGATGAAGACAGTTTTGAAATGTTATTTGTTAATGAAATATTTTCAACTATTTTTCTAGATTTTTCAAACAAATATTTTCTATGAGATTTATTGAAATTTGCCGCAAACGCAATCAAATCAATGCTCAAATTGTCCTCATTTAAGTTTTCAATCATATGAAAAATTTTAGGTAGCATATTTGCAGGTTCAAGGTTATTTTGAAATAATTTACAAGTTAATTCCACTTCTTTAGTATTCATTTTTTCTATTCTATTTAATAGAATAATTAATAAATTTCGAATAAGATTATGATTCATGTTTGACCATTTAGGATAAGAAAAAAGTGTGGCAATTATCAAAATTCTGTTAGTAGCAATATTATCAAAATCTTTTGTGGGTATATTTTTTTCTACTTTAATTTTGTACTTTTCAATAAGCTCGTCTGGAACAAACGATATAATATTTTGCAAGCATGCTGCTGCCGCATATAAACTTTCACAGTCTCCATTATTTTCGATATGTCTAGCCACACAAGCAATCAATTTGCTACAAATATCAAAGTTATAAAACCCTCTTCGTTTTTTGATTATGTATGAAAATTTTAATAATGTAGATAAGGGGACTTCGTCTTCAACTTAAAAAAAAGATTTTTACTATTTGATTAAAATTCAAAGTGTACCAACATACCATCTAAACAATTATAGCATTTTAAAAACAACTTTTGTGTGCTCGTATTATTAGTGTCCACTCCAAGCCTTACTACGTATAGTAAACAATAAATGCTTTCATTTAGGTCCATATTTACAATAACTTTGTTCATATTATTCAACAATACTTGCAATTTCTTGAACAATTTTATGTTTTCATTTGGAAACGTTTGTTGAAACATCAAAATTTTTTGAAGAGCCTGTGCAAATGCTTGCCCACTATAATGTTCTTGGAAGTTTTCATGATGCTGAAAAATCTTAATATTTTTTTTAATACATAATCCAACAAAATTTCCAAAACAACACAAATACCTCATCAACACTAATTAAATGCTTCATAGAAAGTAACGTTTTATCTTTTGTTAAAGGATACAAGTCTTTTTCAATGAACTTTTTCATTATTTGCAATTCACCATTTTTCTCTAAATTATCGCCCCATCCAGAGTCATTATCTTTTGTTCCAAAATTTTTAACCAAAGCACTCGTATAAATTTGCTTAAAAACGAATTGTAGCTTAATTTTAAATTGATTTTGAAAATTTTTTCTTATGCAGTTGCTTGCGGACCAAGTAATAGAATTTTTATAATATCTACCCAGAAACATTTTTGATAACGTTATTCAATTTACATAATTCGTTATATGTACTTATATATGGACTACATACATATGTAGTTTTAATATAACATTTCACGTTTTAAGGAAACTCTGTAGTAAACAAAAACACAAAAACATATCAAGATCATTTGTGAATTGTGCCGCAATGCGCCTAATTATTAATAAGACTTACTAGATTAAAACACTGGCAGTAGAGACTATCTTTCTTTTTCTCTACAATGGGATTTGATATTTAATTATTTTCCTTAAAAATTTTTTAAAGTTTCGGAACTCAGACGAATTTGACATTGCAATATTTTAGTAAAATAAGTAAATTTTAAAATAAAACTAATAAAAGTTTGTAGTACAATAAATATTTAACTGGAAAAACAGATAATATATACTGTAGTACACGTAAGGCAGACGGTTTCCGATGTCAACCCAGAACAAGAGCGTTCACATATTATATGTATTTTGCAAAATTAATGCATGACGTTACGCACGCACAAAAACAAATAATGTCAAATAAAACCGTCAACGCGGAAAATTGCCCTTTTTCTTTTTTCAATTTAATTGGGAAAAAAAGAAGAGTTGAGTTCCCTTTTTTAAATTCTCCTAGAATTTTTATGATGACATTTCTTTCTAATCATTAGAAATATTTTTTTACCTGATGAGTAAAATGTTTTGTGAGAATAAGAATTAAAATGAGAAAAATGTTATAATTAAAATTAATAACCTGTTATAAAATATAATTAAAATTTAAGTTTTCTTTGTGTCAAGTTTTTCAGTTTTCATTTGTGCTCGTCATTTTATTTTACTTGCCTTTTTTCTACTCCCTCTATTTAACCTACGTTATCCCCTCTTTTTCCTTTCCGTTCCTATAAATGATGACGCCGTTGCTTGGTAACTGTTGCTTGCTTAATTGCTATTAAATGACGTTTTTAGATACGCCCTTTAACGATGTGCTTCTTGCTTTATCTAAACAAACTAATAGGAGAAAAGGAGAAATATTTGCAATAAAAAAAATGAAAAGCTGCGTGAAAAACAATAGTCTTTAAAACATTTTTTCAGTAATAGATTCTCACAATGCGTAATACATATAAGAAAAATCAAATAAATTAAACAACTTTAAAAAATGATGCTTTTTCCGGTAGGTGAAATAGTTTTTCTATGTTACTTTACAACATATGAATGGTATGTGTCGAAGTTATTTTGACATTTAATTTAATTATATTTTAAATGTGATTTTCTATTTATTTGACATTTGAACAATAAAAAAATAGCTATGCATATAAAAAACAAAAAAATTATTTAAAAAATAAGGTTATACAAAAAAAATTAGGGTTATGTTTTACTCATATACCGAGAAAGATCTATACATTTATAAATTACGTCTTCATACGTCATATATGAGTTTATGAGTAGTTTGAAAAAGTAAATAGTAAATAGAAATAAATTTTAAGTATTTTCTACAAATCAGCTTTCAAAAGGATTAAAAATTTTATAAAAAAATTTAAAAATGATCGCGCATAAATATGCAAATCATATACTACGGAAAACGCATCCCTGTTTTTTTTGTTTTTCAGTTATTTGACAATTAATGTAAGGTTTAAGTTAAAAATGTTATGTGTGAAATGTCAATGTTTTTTTTAAAACTGGATGTTCACAATCGAGTTTGAAAAACTACTTTTCAAATTTAAAACAAGCTTTCCGAAATCTATTTGCCTTAAAAGTATATTGTAATATACATATGTACATATAACAGATTTATTATATTAAAAAAGTTATGTCGTCCCTTGAAAAAAAGATGAAAAATATTACAATTTGCAGAAAAATACATCTATTATTACCACCAAAACACCACTTATACCACGAAAAGGTAGAAAAACCCAAGCCCAAAAAAATTATCAAGATTTCTTTAAACACTTTCCATATTTTCCCTTTTTCTCATTAAAATTAGAAACCAAAAATGATAGTGTAACTTATCTATGTATGTGGAGAACATACCATTTGAAATATTAAAGAAATATTTACTTTTTTCTCCTTCATAATATATGTATGTAATGGTTTTAAAAGTAACAGATATTTTAAGAAGATTTTGATAGCAATCTAAAGCACATACCTATATATGTATCTAGTTAGTGTATAATTATATATCTATCGAGTTAGTGCATCTTACCTTATAAAGTTTAAGCAATTCAGGTTTACACATTTTTTGCTTTTTATTGTTACAATTTGCTTCGTGTACGATATAACGTATACATAAGACGTTGCATCGTACAGATTTTTAATAAATTTTCAAACTCAAAACTATCTGCAATTAATTTAATATTTAAAAAATATATTTGTACGTGTTAAAAGAAACTCAATAGAATACACGCTTTTTTGAATTATTTATCACTTCTTACATTAGTTATTTTACTGTCCACAACATATTATATTTTCTATATGTTCAATATATTCAAATTCCCTAAATTAAATTAAATATTTATACATACATATGTGTACTGAAAGAGCTGTGATGAGACAAGAAACTTTTGCTAGAGCAAAATAATTTCTTGTCTCATTATAGCCTGCGAAGTCAAAAGTCATAGATATTTATGATTATGACATGATCTATTATTTATGACATTTAACGGAACGCTACAAAAATCGCAAAGAATGGGTGTTTTTAATAATGCAACATGCTTCCGGATTTCTAAGTTAGAACTTAAATTAATGACTTTATATCTAACAAGTCCCAATGCTCAGAGAGAAACTTGAAAGCACGACCTTATTTTATATGGGTTTTTTTAAATCGAAGTGCCTATTTTTTGAGAAGAAATTTTTAAAATAAATTCACACTTATTATAAAGCAGGTAAAATTTCGAAAATATATTTGAAAAATCAAAAAAATATATTAATATTTTCATTCATAATTATTTTAGATTAGATGTAAAGACATTAATATTAAACTCTTTTTTGCGTAAAAAAGAGAAAAAGATAATAAGAAATATGACACGTCACACGATCATTGGCATTTAAAGAAAAAAACAGGAACGAAGCCAAAAATTCGTAATATTTCGTAAAAAAAATTGAGTATTGGGACCAAAGTATATCTACTCACAAGTAGTTCGACTCTCCGTTTCCATCTCACTAATGCAATCACTCACCAATATTTGTATACAAAAAATTCCCCTAGTTAAAAGAGTTAAGCAGTATACCTTCTTATTTTCATTTTTATACACATAAGAATTTTTGGGAGAGGGAAAGAGTACGCAATAGATGTCAACCTGTTTTTTTATAATGTATTTTGAAAGGCGACACTTTATTATTTGCTCGTATATAAAGTAAAGGGAAAAATATTAAGAATTTTAAAAGCGACACAATAATTTCTGTAATTCATTCCAGTACAAGGTGGCAAAAAAGGTGTATTCATATTATAAAAGCGAAGCGGAAAAAAAAAAGTTAAAAAAAAATTATTATAATTTATATAATATAATTTTGAAATATAATAAAAATAAATTTTAAAAAGACGTAAAATATTAAAAAAAATTTTAAATAGTTGTGAAAAAAAATATTTTTCAGTTTTTTATAAATCATCCAAGAATTTCATGGATAATTTAAAGAATTTAGAAAACACTTTTATTAAACTTTTTAATGATATTTGTACAGAAAAAAATTTAGAATGTAATATATGTATATATGAACACTTAAAAATAATTTCATCTATGAATGTTTGAGAATTAGAATTTACCACATAATAAAAAGTTTTAATAAAACTATAAAACAATTTGATATAAAACAAAAAATTTTTAGTGTTAAGCATTTGTAATTAATAATTATCAATAAATAAAATAAATAAATTATCTTTAAATTTTTTACTTTTATTACAATCTTAATAAATTTAGAACATATTTCCCATGAATTGTTAATAATTATACTTCATAAAGTAATCAGTATGCATACACCTTTTTTTCCTTATAAATTACTTTATTTCTATGTCACTATCTGATAATGTGTATCTATTGTACCAGGTACGTGCATGTGTACATTCATACCTGAAATTTCAAACTCTTTTGCTTTTATACATTCGAATTTTTTACCTAAATTTTATAAAATGAAAAATAAATTTTGTTATTATCAAAATAAAAATAACAAAATTTTTACCTAACTTAATTTAATTTTATTTTAGTTCAATGTTTTTGATACACTCGTTCTAGTTCACTGAAATATAAATTTTTTATTAAATTATAATAACAAAATTTAAAAGAAATTTATTCTAATAAATCCTGTTCTGACATTATTTTTTTTAAATACAAGATAGCTTCCGCAGCATTTCAATTTCGCATCAAACACATTTTTTTGTTAGCCTCCGCAATACTTTATTATCAAACGTAAATCATTATTTCATTTAGTAATTTAGAAATGAACTATCAAAAACGCAGAATATTTCGAATTTTGTTTTTTACTTATTTACTACTTAAGTTTATTTATTGATTAAAATAAATTTAACAGAATGAATACAAGAACTTGCATACGAAAAAAAAATTTTGTAGAACTAAATCGCAAATCACAAATTTAATTTCATTTTTATGTTACATTTTCTTTACTTTTCTTTCTTTATCAAAAGGGAATGCTAAACACATATTGATCTACATTACAAATTCTTTAGTATACGAGAATGTATGTAATTGCTTTTATGTTTGGTTTATAATACCTATGGATGAAAACAATGGTGTACTTATGTATATGTGACAGAAATAGTAAATAACAATTTATGGTTCCACAAAAGAATTTCTCCGAAAAGATACATATTTTTATACATCGAACGTAATATAATTATAGTACCTACAATCAATTAAATTCTTCCCATATTCTTAGACAGTATTCAATTATCGACGGCTTTAGCACCTTTTTTGTAGAAAAGCCACTCTCTCCTACTTTTACATACTACCGTATGTAAAAGTAGGAGAGAGTGGCTTTACGTGCATACTACCAAATTTAATTGAAGAAGACATAAAATTTTTCATATTACAGCTGTTATGTTGTGAGCTTCACACCATAATGAGAAGTCATAATAAGTTAGTCCTTATATTGATTAATTATTAAAGCCATAATTAAGCAATATAAGGACGTTCATATGTATGTACATATTTATACATAAATGATATTTAAAATAATATAATGGAATTAAAAAATAATTATCAATCATGCACAAAAAACAACTTTCGCTATTTATTAAGGCAACTATAAGTTTGATTCTCATATATGTACTCGTAAGTATACAATACACATAATATTCACACACTATATATATATTCATATAATATTCTGCATTTTTATATCTACTTTTATATACATACATATGTACATACACATATGCATGTAAACATAAATATGCTGAAAAATTTTCTTTTATTTTCATGTCCATGTATTTAAAAAGCGTAATAAGATAATGTATAAATAGCATTTTTATTCTTGTATATACATACATACATATATGTACCCATAGCTCCCTTAAATTAAAGTTTTAAGAAATTTATTTCAACTTATTTATTTGAAGTTAAAATACATATACCGAAATCGTACAATGACTCATATACATATGTTTTAATAATTTTAAATAGGGGTAGTGGTTTTTTATATTTACGTTCCTTGCTTTTTTAGATTAACGTCGTCTGTTACAAATAAAAATACATACATATATACGTATATACATAAATATAAAAAGTAAAATAATACAGTATATTTATTCTTCTACAAAATTCACTAATTCTACTTAAATTTTCCGCAATTTCCTTATGCATTTTTGTACAAACATACATATAATTACGAAAAATTTTATCCACACTTATACATGTGCACCTGTAAATGAAATATACATATATTATATTGTATACATCCCCGTGTATATGTAATTATGGTAGGAAACATATCTGAATAAATTTATGTATGTACATATATACATTTTTGCTGCATTCGTACTTGCAACTAATGAACTTTTACGTCATTTTACAAGTTTAAAAAAGAAATTTATTCCACAAAATGAATTGTTTATCCAAAAGGACATAAGCATGCGCGATCAAAGGATAAACAGTATCGTATTTCACGTATGTAAATACGATAAAACGTGTGCCGTCGTAACAACAATTACTTTTTCAAAAATGTCGTGTATGGTTCTTGACTTTGGTTAATTTTAATTCGCTCTGCCAAAATTTAATTTCACTTTAATTTTCTTTATTTAAACAATTTTCTATGAACATGCGGGAAAAAAATCAAAACTTGCTTTGACAAAACTTATGATTACACCTTCGGCATATATTCAAAACGCGTCTAAAAACTTAAATTGTGGAAAAAATCTACTTCAATAATACATTATGCAAATAAGGTTGAGACGTTTTTGAAACATTGCACATTCGAATATGACATTGCAACTTTCTCATTATCTTAAATATCAAAAAGCTGTGCGTAAAAACACCTACACTACTTTAGCGTGCGTACATAAGTTAAAATTCCAATAATTCAGTTTATTTTATGTAGTCCAGGTTAAGTTTTTTTTATAGGTTAATAGTATATTTAGCCTAACCAACACTCTTCGCTTTATAAAATATTTTAAGTCTATAACACATAATTCTATTTATAACATAAAATCCTTCAATTTCAAAATCTATTTTGTCTTATCTTTAAATGTGCTTTGTCAAATATCTTAAAAAATTTTTTTTATTGTAACACAAAAAACAAAAATTGTGTTGTGCGGATAAATCTATAAAATTTGTGAAACTTCAAAATGATTTCGAAAAAGAAGGAAATCGATACTATCTCCTCTTATGTTTATATCGTAAAATTGGAAATTTAAAGAAATGAAAACTTACAAGGTTAACGGTAGATTGTTTTATTTTAAATCATTTAGTCAGTCGTCGCGTTCAATCAAAGCCAGTTGTTAGTGATTTAATACATATAAGCTGTAATTTTATGGTTAAAATCAAATAGTAATTTTTCCGTTTTTGGTAGATTTTTCAATTTTATCCTGAATTTTCTTATATTTTTCAAAAAAAAAGGATAGTATATTCTTATTTTAATTTTTCAAAATTATTTACATAATTTTTTATGCCCCGCCCGACAACTTCTCTGCCATATTTTAATTAAAAGCTCATAAAAAGCCTGTATGAGAAAAAAATCGATCTATAATTGCATATCCTTGTTCATGAGATTATTATAAGACTTTAAATTTGAAAATAATAAAAATTATTAAAAAATGATAAAAATAAATAAATTAGAATAAATTTAACGTATAAATGAAAATTAAATATATACATATTACTAAATACTAATTTCTAACCTAACTAAAACTATATTATTAAAAAATCAAAAGGAACTTAAAAAATTTCAAAAAAATAAAATTCATATAGGTTTTCTAAATTTGAAATTTCACTGGTATTAAGGGATAAACAATTTTATATTTAAAGAAAAAAAAGAAATAAGAAAATTGTCAATCATGCTTATAACTCTAGTAAAAGAATCTGTAATGCGTTGTTTCTGTCATTCGTGCCAGGCACCATCTTTACCTGCCGGTAAGTTTTTATATAATATATGGTAATTATGTGTAACAGTAATTTTTTTACTATTGAGTTTTTACTTATTTTTTATTTTTAATTTTTTTTTATATTATGTACAAGTCAATGACTCAAAAATTACGAATCATAAAATTTTGTTTTATTTTAAAAAAATTGCGCTTACAATATTATCCCTAAAAAAATCTATATACATATATAGATTTCATTTTAACTAATTTTTCTATGTAGGTATGTGATACTACAAAATATTAATTACTAAGATACATATATAATGTACCTCAAGAAATATTAATTGTAGTTTCTTCCAATTCGTTTTAAAATAAAATTATACCTTATATCAAAACCTCCACTCACTATCCAAATTTTCAAAATAATCTCGCTTAAACCTCAAATTCTAGGAACTAATATCGAACTTAAAAAAACAATAAAAAAATTTCTAGACAAAGTCAAAAATTAGTACATTTTTATAGCATTTTTAATATTTTCATTAAAAAAAATGCAAATAAATCATCAGTTAGTCTAAAGATACACTATTTTAAAACTACACGTTTATTGTTTTTAATTTACTTTCTTAGATTTACCGAAGATAAATTCATATTATGTATAAGTATACATACATATGTACATACAAAAACGCATAAGTATATTAGGTATTTATGTTACATAAAAATATCTTTCGTTTTGAAAAATCAATTTCTGTATTGAATATACTTGTATACTTGTCGTATTTTTGACTTATGATGACGATTTTTTTCCAATTTATAAAAAAACATTGTTGTTGTGTCAAAAGCCTTGTGGAAGATGAATGAGTCATTTTATAGGCGTCGTATAAATTATAGTATGTAGACTTCTGTAGTGCATAAACTAACGTATATGTACTTTCTAATGTAATACTCTAGTGTTATATATTAGGGAATCCTCACTCTCCATAGTTGGATTTGTTTCCCTTGCTTCTATTTTTTGAATTTTCCTTTTTTATGTCAATAATTTTTACTTGTTCATTTTCCATTATTTAATTTTTTGCACTAAAATGAAATTCCAGTAATGTCGACTTTATATATGAGTACATTAAATTATTAAAATCGAGTGGAAATAAAAAATAATAAAAGTATCATGTACACAGGTAGTTTGAGGACACAAAATTTTCAACATTTTTATAGTATGAAATTTAATGTCAGAGTAATCGAAATATAATTATTACATATAAAGTTCGAAATAATGTTTTGTCAAATAGTTATTTTAAGTAAGTGAATGAGTTCAATGTAAGTTTTTGCAACTAAATTATTAAAATATAGGTTTAAAGGATTTTACTTATCAACTTAGAATTAGCTACATTTATATTTAAATCTTCATAAAAGAATGTAATTAAGCATAAAATTTGTTAAGCGAGTCGTTTTGAGTCGGCCTCAAAGCCAAGAAAAACTTGCAAACTAAATTGGTTATTTAGTCTAAAGTTTCAGGTCTTACTGATTGATCTAAACCTAAAGAAGAATCACTTAAGAAGATTTTTGTTATTGGAGTAACTTTAAAATTATAAGATTGTGGTTGGAGACATGGATAGCAAAACTAATACAGCGTATTTATTATTAAAGAAATTTATTCAATCGATTTTAAATAAAGACGACTTACGACTTGTACGTACAGTAGCATTTAAATAACTTATTATGGGTATAGATTATAGAATAACCATTTACACATTGATTAAATACATTTAAAGTTTTTAAAAATTTTTTCAAGCTTTCCGTCTGGTTTATTTTTTTTTATATGAAGATTTTTTTTCTTTTCGTGAAAAAAAATTCTAATATAAATTTTCTTTCGCTAAAAATGCATTTTAAAAAATTTTATTAAAATTATCTAACCCTTAATTCACTTTCAATCGGATCAGACATTTTAAAAATATAAAACATAACAAAAGCAATTTACTTCGCCAGACATGATAATTCATGTAACATGATAAAATGTTTTGGTAAGTTGGAAAAGCTTATGAACACATTTAATTTGCAATATCTGTTTTTGAACATACATATTATACAGGGCAATTTTCGCTATATCTCACGATATATTGCTTTTATGTAAAGGACTAAATTGTAATGTAATATTTATAATGCAAATGGGTATCAATTAAATTTATGATATAAGTTTTGCTTATAATTCTGTAACAATAAAATAAAATATAAAGTAAAATTATTAAACCTATGGATATAAGAAGGATAAAAATAATTCATATTTTTATTTCATAGTTGGAAAAAGAAATGCTCCTTTCAAGAAAAGCAATACTAAAGTTCGCGCCAAACAGCCTAGAACTGGTTCAAAAAAAGTGAAATTCATAAGTAAGAATAAATTTGACTCTCTTTCTACAAATATTGAATAAACAAAATTATCACATTAAAACTATTATGATTTTGTTATACATATTTAAAGCTACGGAAATTCGATGCCAGGAAAAATCAAAAGGTGGTCTAAGTTATGAAGTTATTCTGGCTGAACCAGCACCAAATGTTGCACTGCCTAAAAAACCTCTATCACCAAATAAAAATGTTTCAGCCGAAGAAATTGAACAAAAACTAAAAGCGGCTGAAGAGAGAAGGCTCGTAAGTATATAAGATATCACAGTTGAATAATTTTAATGAATGAAATACCAACTAAAATAATTCAATGAACTAATTAATATTAAAGTCTTTGGAAGCTAAAAAAATGGCGGAACTTTCTAATAAATTGGCAAAAATTGAAGAAGCCTCTCGTAAAAAGGATGAATTGAATAATGAATTTATAATTCAAACAAAAGAAGCTCTAGAATCTAAAATGGAGCAGCACGTTGAAAAACGAGAAGAAATCATTTCAAGTATGAAAGAAAAGTTGAAGGTATTTCAAAAAAAATTATTTTAATTTCTAATTTTTAATTTTTTAACTTTACGCATTTTTCAGATTCATTCACAAGATATTGAAAAAACTCGCAATTCCTTGGAACAACAAAAAGAAATTGAAAAAGCCGCCATTGAAGAAAAACTTAAAATTGCACAATCTCTTCGAGATGATAATTTGAAAAAAATGATTGAACGTCTTAAAGAACATGTAAGATGTATAAATTAATGTAAAAGAAACAAAAATTTAGCAAAACATTTTATTTCATGTTTTACAAATTTCAATTTTTTTCTACTTCATTTAAACATGTTGTACATTTCATTTGCTCATTGTATTACTTCTATGTGCAAAAAAAATCACATATTTCTTGAAAAGCAAATGTTTTGCTGAAAATATAGCTGCTGTGATATTAATAATAATAATTTTGAAAAATTCAAATAACATAACAAAATAAAAATAAAAAAACATGACAAAAATCATTGCAAAATCGAGTTAAAAATTGCATTGTTTTATATTTCTCTTTTATAACTACTAATAATTTTTGATAAATTTTGTTTTCTAATACCTATCATAATAACATAAAACTACTACTACAAAACTATTGAACATCGAATATATTTTTGAATTCTATATTCTCTGTTGTGCAGAATACCATTAAGGTAGCAGAAGTGAAAAATCAAGTCGAAGGTTTCGTGGCCCAAAAATCGGAAGAAAAAACAAAAATTATTGAAAATAAATTATATACAGCAGAACAGAACCGTGAAAGGGAAATTCAAAAAAAAATTGAAAAAATTCGAGAACTTGTACGTTTACAAAATAATTATTTACTATAATTTTAATTTAAAATAAAATTTTCAGTGTAAATTTTAATATGTTTTGTAAAAAAAAAAAAATTTTTTTCTCCATTGGTAAAGAGTGAAAGTTCCCAGAGCATATTTAATTTATTGCATAATTTATACTTATGTCATGCTAAATGTGTTCGAAATTTGATCTATAGTTTTTACTTTTATTATTTTTTCACTATATACACATATTTTAATCACTATTTATAAAAGCACAATCCCACTTCTTTTTAACCATTTTTAATTAAATATATTTTTGTAATTAAATATAAAAAAATTAAATTAAATGAAGGACCAAAATATAAAGTCTGACGTTAATATTTTATGTTTAAACTGCAAATACATCAGAAAATTAATTTTAAAAAAAAAATTAATAGCAATTTGATTTTAAATTCATTCTGAACTATGATTTTTAGACCTATGGTTTAAGTTTTATTTAAGATAAGTTTCATATTTTATAAGAACAAATTTTTAAATTTTTCTAAATTTTACATTTCAGTACATAAAAATTCTAACTATATTAAACAGTGTTTTACGCATGTTTTTTATACTTAATGTTTTTTACAATTTAAATAACAAAAAAATAAGTTTTTCGATTATTTTTAATTGAAAATTCATTTAATCTCTATTTGAATGCGTTTATTTCTTTTTGAAACTAAGTACACGTTCTTTACGTAAAATTTGGAAGCGAAATAAAAAATTAATTTTCTTGTTACGTTAGATGTTTATTCATGTACGAGTATAACTGTGAATTTTCAATTGATACAATCAAAAAAGATATACATATATATTTAAAACAATATGAATTGTATAGTTGATTAATTATTTAATTTTTTTCAGGAACGTCGTGCTGAAATTGTTCGGCAAAATAAAGCTGCACTATGTAAGAATTCAACTGAACATACTGCTAACGATTCATTAATCACTGTATGTGGTTAAAAAGGGTCACAATACTTCGTTTTTTCTTCTCATCGCTAGCTATATTTTTTCAAAAAAAATCGATGAAAATTTATGAACTCAAAATGAAAATATTATCAAAATATTCAAAAATTAAAAAAAAATCAATAATAAAAGACAAATTTAATGAATATTTTTCATTAATTTTAGTTCTTCATTATTAAAGTTTGTCAAAAAAAAAAAAAAAAACAAAATTGTTCTTAAATAATATAATTACCATATATGCAACAAAAATTGATGAAAAAACGCTGAAAAAATTATATAAAAAAATAAGTAACATTTATTAAATCAAAATTAACACCTTAACAAAAAAAATATTAAACAAAAGAAAGAAAAAATTTTGCTTCATAAATTTTTATGTAAACGCTTTTTATATATAAACCGAAATATATTTGTATAAAATCTACATACATATATTAAAATGTTTGCCATGTATTTAAAAAACAATTATGCGATGTTTTATTTACACAAAAATTTGAACAAAAATATTAAATGAAACAATAAAAAGAAAATTATTATAATACGCATAAGCAATTGAAATTTTTTTTTGTTCAAATTGCTTGTCTCTTATATAATTATTATAGTCTTATAATATATAACAAAAAGAAACGCTTCATTATTATAAAAAAAATCACATAAGACTTGTTATATATACTCTCATATTATATATAAACACTTTCACATTAATATATACTTACAAAATACGTGTATAAATATATTTATTCATATAAACATAAATTTAATAAAACTATTGCATACACATATGTATATGTATATAAATCAATAACATATGAAATTAAATTTTGTGTAGATAAAAATAATTCAATTCAGAATTAAACAGAATTTAAAAATTATTTAATTAATTTTTATACAAGTTTAAATTGAAAGCGCAGTTTTGTTTTGTCCTTTTTCAACTACATATACAAACCTGAATCTAGCCAACCTGAGCAAAATTTATGAATAGCATAACAATTTTAATTTTACCGTATAATTGCAAACAAAATTTGATTAGTTTTATTCGAATAAATATATATGTATATACATACGTATATAAATCGGTATTTGTAAATTTTGTTCAGATTATTTATGTACATAGATTTACATATTTGTTTTAAACTGGTTAATCTATTTATGATATCTGCCAGTTGGAAGGATGAAACAACTTTAGTTTGGAAAGAAGACAATTTCCTATTAAAAGTTGCTTGGAAACAGTACTATATTTAAAGAATTAAGTTTATTTGAAAAAAAAATAATTTTTTTAGATCAATTTTGTATGTATGTATGTATGAAATTATATTTGCAATTTAAATTTTTAGTAATAAAATTTTTATTATTAAACATTTCTTTTTAGAATTTTAACTTTTAAAGTAAATACATACATATATAGGTATACATACATCACATCACAAATTAAATTTTTACATCTATTTCTAATATTCCAAATACATACATATTTATATGTATATATGTCCTTATCTCTTTTTAATAAATTTCATTCTACTAGATTAATTACAATAAATTTTCAGTTGTAATTGTTATATTCTTTTTTATTGAAGATTGACACACATGATTTTATTTACTAGTTGTAGAAATTATTAAAATATTTTTTCTATATATATATATATATATATATATATATATATATATATATATACATGCATATATATATATATATACACACTTTTATAAAATTAATTGAGTATAAATCAGTTGTGTTTAAATTTAAATACTTACATAGAGAAAACTATACTTCACTCTGATTGTATGGTATGTATTTTGCTTTTCTAAATCTAGAAATAATTAGCACAAAAAAATGAAAATAATTTTAACAATAATCACAAATTTACACACACCATATATTTATACATTAAAAAAATTAAGAAAAAGAAAGTATAGCCATAATTTAGTCCACAAACAGACGATGAAAAAAGAATACCTTAACATACCTATATACAGATAAAGAAAAATTATTTTAAAATTTAATCAATTCAAAAACTGCATAAAGTTCTGAAAAATGTAACCGGTTTCCGTTTACCGAAATACCCAATGTTTTTATTACAAATCTTTATCAATTTCTTTGCTCTATTAATAAAAAAAACTACACAGTAAAACCTTATGAAACCGATGATGACTTAGAATTTTAGAAAAAAAGAAGTCATAACGTAAAACACACATTTAGTATTCAAAAGTCTTACAATAAAAAAATTATATAGGAGAAAAATTATAAAAGGAAAAATAAAAAAACAATTAGAAAATAAAAACAATATTTTTTCTACCGATTGAGTAAAGAATTTAAAAAATAAATATTCAAATAAAAAAATTAAATAAAGTAATTTATAATCTAGTGTTATTGTAATAATTAATCTTTTATTATTAAAATTTTATTTTCTTCGTTTGAAATTTACATAATTTACAAAAAAAAAAATAATAAAAATTTTTTTAGTTAAATGTGGTCTAAATGTGATTTAACATATTTAAAAAGAAATTATATATAAATTAAAAGAAAATAACATTTAACATGAGTAAATAAACAAAATAAAAAAAAGGAATTTTGTACTTGTAAATGAAATACTATAAAAATATTAAATTCGAGTATTATGGATTGAACATCATTTTATGTAAACTAATGTTATATTAAAAACAAAAATTACTGGTAACGAAAATTCATAAAATGAAACGCTGCTTTAATAAATAAATAAAAACAAAATTTTTGTTTTATTACTTAACGAAAATTGCTGTACTAGAACAACACTATTTAATTTTGAATTATAAATCTGTCCTTTTAAATTAATAAATACTTAATATGCACTTATATAATATTTTAATAACATACATTAAAAATAATATGATGTTACCCAGTATATCAAATGACATGAAGTATGCGTCATAAATTCAAAATATATGTATGTATGTTGTTAATGCAACTGATTATTATTTAGTTTTTGTGTATTTCTTTAAACTGATGCATAGGTCATTTTTATATGTGACAAAATAGGTTTGTCTGTTACAGAAAACAGTTATCGTTCGCAAAGAAAAAAATTTGTGATTTCAAAAAAGAAATAAACCAGACGGAAAAGTTGGAAAAACGTTTAAAAATTTTATAAATACGTGATAAACGTCAAACATAACCAAATCAAACGTAAACAAATATTTTTCTTTATACCAAAAACCGAAAATTTTGATTTTGGATTATGAAAATGAGAAACTTCAGAAAAAACCATTTCTGAATCCATTTTTATACCCTGCTCCTTCGTGAAACCCTGCTCCTTCGGTTTGGACATGTATATATATATTCCTGGTCAGTGTAAAATCCTGCTTTGATTTAGACATGTCCGTTCGTCCGTCCGTTTGCACGATAATTCAAAAATGAATAAAGTAAACAAGATAAAACTCCCACAAGTTGCTTCTTTTGTGCTAAGAACGAACCCTATTATTATTGGACCAATTCAGCCAACAGATATTTATTTTAAATATTTGAAAAACTAATAAAAATATATCTGACCATTGGTGCAGTGATTATGGCACCGGTCCTTTAACCGAAGGGGTCTCGGGTTCAAACCCCGGTCATATCACTATAAAAATCATACTCAATATTATAGCTTTATTATAAAATACTTATGAAATAGCAAATCACCTGCTCAGTTAAGACTCTATGACGCATTGTAACTGGGGCATGACATAGTCTATAATGTCATGGACCAGCCATATATTCCTCCTAGGAGTGCAAAAATGAAAAAAAAATAAAGATATAAGTGTGAAATTTTGTACGCTAAAAATTTCAATGGAATGGCTGCACTGATTCGAATAGCTGCCAGATAACTGCAATTGATCATTTTAAATAATCAGAAAAATAATAAGGTTAGATTCATGAGACTTGACAATAATTATAGATTCTGTGTAACTGTCAGATTCCTAAAGTACAGAGTAAAATTCAGTCGGTTTAAACGTTTTTACTTGTTCTTATCTGATTTTATATTTAATTAAAAAGTTTTGAAAAAAAATTATTCTTGATAATTTTTAGCAATTTTTTTTTTTGAAAAATAAAACCTTCTGACATGCATTAACTCAAGATATAAGATTTTAAAAAACTAGAAAAAATTTTAAACATTGAGAAAATAAAAACGTCACTATTTTCTATGATTTTTGTTTAAAAAGTATTACCCTAAACGCTTGGCATGCAAAAACTTTATAAAATTTTTTCAAGTTTCGTTAAATTTTTAAAAACTTTCTTATACTTGAATCACACGGACATAATGATTGACGAAAAATTTAATCATTTTAATTTTAAAATTTAAGATTTTTCGCTTGATTTAAACAATCTTTAAAAGGTCTCTTGAGAAAACTACTTAATTGTAGATGCAAAATTAAGCAATAGTCCCACTACGTGAAAATAAAATTTTATTGATGTTCTATTTTTCCTAGCATAATTTTATAACATAATGAATTTTAAGTTTTCTTCCATTGTAAAATTTTAATTGATGCTCACCGCTTTCTGCACTGTGGCTTTTCCATGTCTCCAGAACCATAAAAGATTTCTACCGACCACATTGTGTATACAAAAAGGTAGGTTATGTGATGGCTACAAATTTTGCATATCGACTTTTCGGTGGGAACGTACTTCACCGTGGTAGGGAAGTGTAAATAAACTATTTTTAGCAACCTGTCGGTCTGTTTGTGCACGCGTGTATCTGAAGTTCGGCTGAACCGATTTTGATAGAAGTTAAGTAAGTTAATTTCGATATGACACGATTGATCAACTTTTGGGATATATCACACCTCCGGAGCCATTAGCGAGCCATTTTGAACAAAATATGTAAAAGATTTACTTGAAATTTCATATATGAGCTTCATTCGACTGTCCGCGAAACCACCTAACTTCGGAAGAAATCAGGCGTCAGCAACTACACGTTTACTACGGGTTAAATATTTATTTTTGCGTATATATGTATGTAAAGAGAAATATCAACTGACTTCATTGAAATATAATATTCAAATTCAAGATTTTAAAAAAATGAATCCGTAAATTTTTGGAAATATCAGGGCTCGGAAACTGATTTGGGGGCCGATTTTACATTTTTTATTATATCTACTTAACGAATTGATGGAATTTCTTGAAATTTAATATTTAACTTCTTGAAATTTAATATTTGACTTCTGGTTGTTACCAGAAGTTACTGACGAATAATTCGGATGACTCAAAATGCTACTCTATTAAGAGCCAAATTCACATTTTTCTAGTTATGTTAACTAAAAAGTTATTAGTGTCCTTAAATATGTAAAGAAGTGTTTAAAACGCATTTTCATAATCTTCTGGAATACTTTTACCTATTAAGACAATATACATAGCGATCGATTATATGCTGATCACATCAGATTTTTTTATACTGAATGGATTTTTATACTGAATGAACAGAAGGTCCCCTTAATGGTCAGTAACTGGATGGTACCGGAGGAGTCTTCCCTCTCGGACCGTTGCTGGATTCGTTCTAGGATAAATTTGCAACTGGAGGGGTTAGCGCAATTTAGGAACCCCTGAAGGGCAAATTGGGATGGGTACTCAGCGGGCCTGGAATCTGCCATGGCCGGGCCGGTACGAGAACTGATAAGAAGGGGTAAGTCGATTAACAGTACGGTTGAGTGTCTGAGTGCGTCTATGCGGGGGCTTTGGAGGCCAATTGACCCATTAACCGTCCTGCAAAGTGCACTAGACCACCATGGTGCTGTAACGAAATTGGTGAATCCAGGAGAAAGGTAAGGAGCCTACATCATTTAGCGAAGCGGGGTAGCATCCCATCCATGTAGGATGAATATAAAAAGGAACTGAGGGCTTTTAAGTACACAATAAGGAAAATACCAAGGAGGTTGCAAGATTACGAGTACGAGTTTTGGGTAAAGAAATTTTTACGGGGGAGAGGATACGGTCGGCTACTAAGTCTTTTGGCCCCTACGAGTCTCCGGGAACGAATGGAGTGTTGCCTATTATGCTGCGGGGGCACCGAGAGTTATCATTGATTGGTTGGTGGTAATTTTTCGCAGCTGCCTGTATATGGGGTATGTCCCTAGAAAATGCAGAGAGATTTTTGTGCCGAAGCCTGGTAGGAAGGGTCATGTCAGCGCGAGGGATTTTCGACCAATCAGTTTGTCGTCGTTTGTGCTGAGGACCGTGGAGAGGTTAGTGGAAAAATATATAAAGAATGAGGAAAGGGAATCGGGTCTGTCAAATGACCAGCATGCCTACAGAAGAGGGAGATCTGTGGAGACGGCGATCTGTGGAGGGAGATCTGTGAGCACGCGGTGGTCACACAGGTGGAGGTGTCTCTGCAGTACAAGGAGTATACTTTGGCCGCTTTCTTGGATGTTGAGGGTACTTGATAGACTGGATGGCTGGGCGCGTGGATGCGGTCTTTCTCTGAACCCCGCAAAAACGGAGCTGGTATTGTTCATTAGGAAAAGGAAGGTGCCCGAGTTTGCTCTGCCTAGGATGGCGGAGGTCGCACTGGATTTGGCGGGTTGTGCGCGATACCTGGGCGTCATTATGTATAGTAAACTACTGTGAAAGGAAAACATAGAAACCTGTTTGCCTGTAAGGGTCTATGGGGAGTGAGTCCTCGGCTGGACTATTGGTTGTATGAGTGGAGGAAGTTGGAGAGGATGCAGTGTATGGCGTGTGTTGGGGTGACTGGTGCATTGCGCACTACATCCACTTTGGGTTTGGAGGTTATTCTCGACTTGGATCCGGTGAGTGAGCAGGTGAAAGCGGTGGCTGCGAGGAGTACCTCGAGGCTACAAGTGATAGGCATACTTAAAAAAGGAAATACACACACAGTAGGATTCTGGGAGAATGCGGTCTATGGACATTAGTCCTGACTTTGTGGTGCTATATACTGACTGGAGGGTTGATTACGGGGTTGTGATTCAACAAAGGGAGGATTGGAGTGCGGAGGGGCTATGCATGATGGTTCTAGGACCATCCGTATAGATGGTACAAGGGGGATTCTCCAAGGAGTTGGGGATAGAGATATCGATTAGGTTGCCTAATTGATGTAGGCTTTTCCAGGCAGAGATTTTGGCGGTGCTCAAGACGGCGGAATCGGCTGCCACTAAACCGGTTGGGGGGATGGCAATTTTTGTGAATAGTAGGGCGGCGATTGGGGCCCTCGCGTCCTACTCGGTTGGGTCGGCTTTGGTGGGTCAAGGCGGGGGGCACTTTGCAATATGTGCAAAGTGACTGTGTGCTGGGTTACCGGTCAGAGCGGGATACTGAGCAATGAGATGGCACATCGTCTTGTGAGGGGAAAAAAAATATTATCCAATTTTGAAGAACTAATCAATGTTATATGTTAAAGTACTGATTACTGAATCACTTTGCATGTACATATATGTTCATATGTACACGTATAAAGAAAGCA